TGCTGGTTTCTCACTAGATGATCTCAGGCTTTTATCTATAAGCACAGAGGTGATAGACAGGTCCATACCACTTAATGAGCAGCTAGCTACTGTGTGCCAGGCAGCAACCGACTCTGGGGACACACCTATGACTCAGTGAATTCCTTGCCTTTAGTGGGGCTGGGCCTGAGGGATGCCATCGCTGACAGACTAGAGTCACCCAGTTACTCTAGCAAAGCCCAGCCGCCCACATACACCTGCTCACACAGCGACCGGCAATCAAACTGGAGCTTGACACACCCACCTACAATAATGCTGGCATCTACACACAAACAAACCCACAGGAGGGATGTACATACATTGACACCCACACACTCACTATGGCGCATACAGACTCACCCCACCCCCCACTGAGCTCCATTAGCCCAGAGAAGCTTAGAGCAGAAAACTCCCCAGGAACCCATTAACAGGTGTGAGTTTGTGCCGGGCAATGGTGGCACATGCCTTTAATCCCAGCACTCGGGAGGCAGAGGCAGGCGGATCTCTGTGAGTTCGAGACCAGCCTGGTCTACAGAGCTAGTGCCAGGACAGGCTCCAAAGCCACAGAGAAACCCTGTTTCAAAAAAATAAAAAAAAACCAAAAAAACAAACAAACAAACAACAACAAAAAAAAAAACAGGTGTGAGTTTGTAAGGACAGCCACCTTGCTGCAGGCCTGAGCCCACCCTGCACCTTGAACATCACAAGTGTCTGGAGCTCCAGTGAGCCCTTATCATAGCTCCCAACCCAGGAGAAGCCAGGCCCCTCTCACCCACAGCCCTAGCTTCCCATCCAGCCAGTCTGGAATTTTGGGCTTTTGGCAAATCCACTGTCCATAAGCTGGGTAAGACACAGGAGCTCCTGTCTGAGTGCCTCCATTCAAAAGACCCTGGAGAAGCTTGGGTGGGAAGGGTGGGTACCTGAGAAGCCATTTAGAGGTTGTAGCCAGCCTGGGCCAGGTGACCCCATAGAGATCCCCATGTGTCTTGTCACTATACCCCAATAATGAGCCCTCTGTTTTCCAGGTCCTACCTGCTCTTCCCTTTTGCCCCATGACTTACACACCGGCATTGCACACTGAACACTGCAGACCCCAAGAGCACTCACTATACAGCAGACAGCTGACCCTTCACTAATCCTGCCCCTTGATGGTAGAGCTAGCCCCATCTGGCTGGCACTGGCATTTCACCTCAACCTGACCTCTAGGACATGAGCCAGCTGCCCAGCGTTCTAGCTGCTCAGAGTGATGCAGGGGCAGGGGCAGGGGCAGGGGCAGGGCCCACCCACCCAGGGGCCCACCCAGGTTACTCCCAGACAGACCCTCTCGCTGCGGTGCCCAGGGCACCAGGACCTGGGGTTGAGAATGGGAGGAGACAGTTTCCCACCCCCACCCTAAGGGACTTCAAAGTCAAACCTCCCGCCCAAGCACCCTAGGCCCGCAGACACGTGGCCGGAAGTGTGCGATCAGCCCCCAGCCCAGGAACTCAGGGCAGGGCTGTGAGCCCCACACACCAGGGGGCATGGCTGCCAACAACCTCACGGACCGCACCGGGAAGAGAAGGGATCGACACACTGTCGCAGGAAGGGAACAGTCAGACCCAGACAGGCGACCCCCGCTGACAAAGGGCGAGCAAGCGCAGACAGACACAGGGCGGGAAGCCTGCACCACGCCTGCAGACAAAGAGACAGGAGGGGGCGGGGCCTGGCGACTCCGCCCCGTCCCCCAGGCCAGACTCCCACAGGCATGCTGTCCTGCTGGGAATTCCCACAGCAAACACCTCCCGTTGTGTAAGGATAAAATCAAGAGTTCCGAAGGGCAAGTAAGCAGAATGCACCTTCAGAAATAAAAGAGGGGTATCTGCGAGATGACCTGAATTGTTCAGTGTCTTGTGTGCCGCCTGCACATCCATTTTAGCTTTCTGAAGCCCCCTAAAAACTGTTCTGAACTCGCGGCGTTCCCTTCCCCAGGGGTATAGTAGCGACCGGTACAAAGTCACTGATTGCGGCTCACCTTCCTCTGATGGATCTAGGCTCGTACCTCCTCAGAGCGGAGAGCATCCAAGGCAGGAGATCCGTCTTTCCCATGCAGGGCTTGCCCCTAGCTCCTGGCCTCAAAGGGGGGCTGCTGGCCGGGTACACGGGCCTCCGGAGTGGGAATGTGACCACTCCTGGGAACTGGGCTGAGGAAGTAGCGTCAGGGCACTACCAGGTGGGAGTGCTTCCTGAGCCTCGCTGGTTTCGGAGGTCTGGTTTGGGTCTGCGGGTTGGGGTGGACCTTAGAAAGAACTGAGCTTCTAAAGGATTTCTGGGGGTGCTCTGGAAGCGCACTAAGGTGATAGACAGTGGGCCCTAACCCCTCAGGTGGTTGAGTTTGGAGGCAGATCTCAAAGGACCGGCTTGCAGGAGGGTCCTAGGGACGCTGGCAGAGGCCTGAATTGAGGGCAAGTCTGGTTGTGGTCTGGGGCTCCATAAACTGGTGCCCTCCTCCCCAGTCCACACAAGCTTGGTTACACTTGGTGCTCAGGCTCTGTCTTGTGTGACCGCAGGAGATCCCCGAGGGTAACCACACCCCTCATTCAAGTGTCAGGACCTCAGGTTAGCAGTGCCAGGGATGCGGCCCAGGGCCTTTGCCCACGTGGGCAGATGCTTCACCCCCCCAGCCAGAGGCCTAAGGAATCTTGTCCTGTCCTCAGACCATTTAGAAGCCTTCAGACCCAGAGTGTATGTGGGGGCGTGGGGAGGAGGTGGGGGGGGGGTAGAGGGCAGTGCTGCCTTCCTTTCTGAGCCCACTGCTGGGGCTGCCAAGGGCGGGAGGTGGGCTCAGGAGGAAACAAGTTTAGGGACCATGGGAAAGTAGAAAGGTCTACATTGTATTGCTGCTTTATTTATCTCACAATCAAGCTTGCCCGAGGAGGAGCAGTTACATTGTTTCAAAGGAACTTGTTTACGGCTCAGTCGCTTCTCAAACCAGAACTGGTGGCCGGCAGACTTCCAGGGTGGCTAGGAATCTCCCTCAGTGCTCTTTTGGCCCCCTCCCCGCCCCTTACGAATTAGAGGGGGACTCTGCACCTCAGGACCGCTTTGGAAGGCTTTCTTTTTATCTCACTCTTTAGCCGGGGCTGGCCGGGAGCTGCAGCAGTTCTAAGCCTCAGTGTTGAGATGTCAGGGCCACTACTTTGGGTGCATCCCTTGAATAAAGTCCATGAACTGAGACTGGCACATTGTCGCCTCTGTTGCAGGGACCACGTTTTTAACGTTATGATTTATATTTGTGCTGCTTCTCCTGAGTCTCCAAAAAGACAGTGGATGCTGAATAACTGAGGGCTGGTTCCATGAGAGTCCAGGGGACGCTGGCTTCTCCATCACCTCTCTGGGCCACTGCCCACTCCACTTCTCCAAGAAACTTGCCAAGGGTTTGGGGGAACATTCAACCTGTCGGTGAGTTTGGGCAGCTCAGACAAACCATCGACCGTTGAGTGGACCCCGAGGCCTGGAACTGCCGTCTACCCCATCACCATCCTGACCCTTCTAGATCTGGGAGATGCCCCAGGCAGCCTGGCATCCCCTCTCAGGCCACAGTAAAGGTCACAATCAACATTCATTGTTGTCGGTGGGTTGTGAGGAGGAGGCCAGACCCACCGGGGGATGAATGTCACTGTGGCTGGGCCATACAACAGTCCCAGGGATGAGGAGGAGGACAGGACCCCTTTAGGTATCCCCAAATTTTTTAGCCTGTCACTTGCTCCCCTTGAGGAGATGGGCTGGTATCTGGGATCTTGATGGACACATTGAAATTTGGAAATAAAGTGGGGACTCTGGGCAGAAACCATTCTTGGAAGGGTGGATGTTTGCTCAGTGAGACTTCTGGAATGGGTAGATGTTGTTCCTTTTGGATACTACAGCTCCCAGACTCCTCCTGGATTACGGATACCTGCGCACACGGGCGTGCACAGGTGCAGGTCATTTCTCCCAGATAACCTTGCGCTCCCCGTTAAAAAGCGAGCTTCCACGAGGTCTCGCTCTCTTGCCCCTCTACCCTTGTGTATCTTGCACACCCATCCCTTATCGTGTCCCCCTCCCCCCATTAAAGTGCACCCACGTGGGAGCCGCGTGTCTTGTCTCCTCCTTTTGCGCGTGTCTCGTCTATCCTGTGTTCGTCTACACACCCCACCCGCTTTTAAAAGAATAATAGTGGATTGGTAGAGGGGCATGTGATAGATGGGTAGGCGGGTGGATCAAACACATTTCACTTTTCGGGGCTCAGGCTAGGCCTCCTCATTGCAAGCAGCGTTGGGAGTCAGAGGGCTGGGGTAGGCCTTCCCTCCTGTACTTGAGGGCTCTTTCCTTTTCTTGTTGCTCCCAGACCGCAACCTTGAGCTAACTGAAGGAGGAAGTCTCCACTTTGTAACAGGACAGACAGCTGAGGTGCTTGTTAACATATCAGAGCTGAGGCCGGCTGCCAGGTTTTCCCAGTGTCCGTCTGTAGTCCCTGCCTGTTACAGGTCCTTCTGGCTGGCATACCCTGTCACCTACCCTGAACTTCTCTAGTTAAGGGACTCTGCTGGGCCACCCTTCCCCCAGCTTTTCTGGTTCCTACATAACCCAGCCATTTTGGTTACATGCCCCCCCCCCCCGCCACTATTCCAGGTTCCCCTCCCCCTCTCCTCACATGACCTGGCTCAATCTGCTGGTCATGTCCACTCTGGACTCTCCAGATGTCTCTGCCTTTGCCTGTTTTGTCCCTTTTATCTACAGTCAATCTTCTCCACCTCGCAGGGGCAGTCATGTCCTCCTTCTGTTTCTTTTTGTCATTCACACTTCATGACTTAAGTTCCCAGCCACTGAAGTGGGCATAAAAGTTTCTTAGGGAAGCCAGAGCCCTGGAACTTACCCCACCGCCTCCATGCACAGACCTCTTCCTAAATTCTAGGATTGCTAACTCCAAGGCCACCTGGTCCCTTCACCCCTGGGGAAGGAAGAGAAAAAAAATTAGTAAACCACGGTCAGTGTGTTTCGCCCTGGGGCAGAGTTCTTAGCCAGCCCCTAGCTCTTCACCTAGATGGCCACCTCCCACAGAGAGGGGAAGCCTTGGGGGTTCAGTGGCTTCTGGTTTACCTCCAGCCCACATAAACACCATATACCCCCTGGGCAGGTATGTAAGAAGCCCCCAGTGACAATGGGGGACCCCCCCCAGAGCCTGCCCGCTCCACCCACTCACATCCCCTCAAGGTAGAAAAGCAGCCAGAGAGGCCTGAGCTTCAGGGACTGAAGAAGCGGGAGCCAGGCAGCATTTCCCTCAATCTGCTCCTCTGCCCAGCCATGGGGACTTTCAATCTGTGGACAGATTACCTGGGCCTAGCAAGCCTGGTTGGGGCTCTGCATGAGGAAGAAGAGCCTGATGTCAGGCTGGAGCCCAAGCCAGAGCCCAAGCCAAGCCCAGAAAGCCAGAAGGCCAGCAAGGGATCCTCAGCAGCTCCTGAACGCCTGTGCTCCTTCTGCAAGCACAATGGCGAGTCCCGTGCCATCTACCAATCCCACGTCCTGAAGGATGAGGCCGGCCGGGTGCTGTGTCCCATTTTGAGGGATTATGTGTGTCCCCAGTGTGGGGCCACTCAGGAGCATGCCCACACTCGACGCTTCTGCCCACTCACCGGCCAGGGCTACACTTCTGTCTACTGCTACACCACCCGGAATTCTGCAGGCAAAAAGCTGACCCGGCCTGACAAGGCAAAGTCACAGGATGCTGGCCACCGCCCTGGAGGAGAAACAGCAGCAGGTGTCTATGCAGGTGGTGTAGGGACTGGGTGGAGAAGGGACCCATTCTAGGCTCTCAGCTCTTTGGGGTGTTTAAGTATGTGTGGTGCCAGTATCTTGGAAGCTAAGCAGCCAGTTGTGTAGAACTGAAAGCATTCTGCAAGTGTGGCATAGAGCATTGCTCAGGAGCGTGGGGTGCATGTTGCTGTGTGGTGGAGCATGGCTCAGGAGCGTGGGGTGCATGTTGCTGTGTGGTGGAGCATGGCTCAGGAGCGTGGGGTGCATGTTGCTGTGTGGCCTTTCACGAGTCACTCCCCTGCTAGGTGGTGGTGGTAGCGCACATCTTTAATCCCAGCACTGGGGTGGCAGAAGCAGGTGGGTCCCTGTGAGTTCGAGGCCAGCCTGGTCTACAGAGCAAAGCTATGCAGAGAAACCCTGTCTGGAAAAAGAAAACAGAAGTCATTCTCCCTCTGAACAACTGAGGCAGATGTTCTAGGGTGTGGTGGTGAGCTCTGATTTCTACTTGGGGATCAGGAGTTGTGAAGATTGGGGGAAGCTGCTAAACCCTTCCTGAACCCAGAAATCATTTGTTCATTTGCCAAATAACACTTTCATGCCTGTTCTGCCCTGGGTGCTGGGTTAGTAGTGAACGAGGTAGACAGGAGAGTGGCATTTAAGGCAGTGCTGAACGGGGAGCAGAAGAAGGGGTCCCACTCAGAAGGACTTCCTGGAGAAGGTGACTTGTAGGAGTCTTAATTCCTTCATTTCTGGTGTGGGAGGTGGGAAGTGTAGCCCGGGCTTCTTGGAAACTATTATCACAAAGTCCGTGTGACTGAGTGTGTGTGCTGTGGGGTAGCTAGAAATAGTTGGATCTTTGGGGTGTCACTTAAGGGAGTTAGGGCTCATGCGTAGTGTTTAAGAGACCCCGAGTTTGCTCCGCACTCAGAAACATAAAAAGGTTGGGGTGCCAGGCCAGCACGAAGACTCCTGGGTAAAGATTGCCTGTAATGCTGAAGCCCCAAGTTTGATGTCTGGGATCCATGTGATAGGAGAACACTGATTTCCTTCAAGTGTCCTCTGACCTCCACACCACAAACACAGCAAGGAGGCTTCTCAGAAGGGGTCCAGAGCCCCATGGTTGTCATGGACCTGAAGACTCTGCTCCAAGCCAGCAGGGTGGGAATGGGGGGACAGGATGGAGAGGCTGCAGTTGGACCCCTCAGGAACTTGCTTGGTGGATCTGTGCTGTTACAGTGTGGGGCCTCCCCAACAAATGCAGAACAGCATCCTCCAAGGCCAGACCTTAGCACCTGAAACTAAAAGGTTTTGAAAGATTGAGGTGTGTGCGTGGTTTGCCTGCCCGTGCACTTCGGAAGAGGGTGTGGGATCCCCTGGAACTGGTTATAGATGGTTAGAAGCCACCATGTGGGTTCTAGGAATTTAATCCCAGTCCTCTGGAAGAGCAGCCAACACTCTTAACTACAAAACTAGCTCTCCATGGCCCTGTTTAGTTTTAATGGTTTGCATGCTAATGGACCCTAGGGCCAGGATTTCAGAGGCAAGGGTCTAGCTATATATAGTGTGGCACCCCGTGCATGATGTCCTGGCGTTTTTCTTTTCTCTCCTTACTTTTTCTTCTCTCCCTCTCTTCTTTCCTTTCTTTTTTCAAGACAGGATTTCTCTATGTAGCCCTGGCTGTCTTGGAACTCACTCTGTACACTCTGTAGACCAGGTGGTCTCCAACTCACAGAGATCTGCTTGTCTCTGCCTCTGAGTGCTGGGATTAAAGGCGTGCGCCACTACCACCCAGCTGAGATGCAGATAATTTTATTTCGTGAGTATGGATGTCTTGCCTGCATGTATGTTTGTGTACCACCTGTGAGCAGTCCTGAAGAGGTATGTGAAGCCCTGGAACCTGAGTGGCAGCTGGTGGTGACTGACCACATGGGTGCTGGGAACCAGATGGGGGCCTCTGCAAAGGTGCTGGGTTTTGGTAAGCTAGCTCTTTCTTTCTGAGACAGCACTTCACTTTGTAGCTCAGGCTGTCCTGTGGTGTGTTGGGATAGCAGGTGCTTGCAAGTCTAATGGCTCTGCCGGCCTCATTTCCTCTGAGGCCTCAAGAGGGAAACCGAAAGTTTGTGGGTGGGACACTCAGGTATTCTGCTGGCTGCTTCACCATGGTTTGGTTGTTGGCTGTGTGTTTGTCTCCCTGGGTAGTCTGGGAGCTCCGGGAGGGTGGCAGTGGACTGGGGTGTCTCCCTTAACCTTGCAGTGGAACTCTGGTTAGAGGCAGGTTATCTGCAGGTGAGAATCCCATTCTGTGAAGTTTTTGTTGTTGTTGTTGAGACAGTCTCTCTCTGTAGCCCAGGATGGACTTGAATATGCCTCAGCCTCCCTATGCTGGAATAGACATGAACCCATGCCTGCCTGTTAAGAGTTTTATGTTACTGGTCTGATGTGGAGATGGAACCCGGGGCCTTCTGCATGTGGCTCCACAGCCCTATCCCTCCCAGTGGGATCTTGAAGGGACTCAGCCCTGAGAAGCTCACGATGAGGAGTTATATGGAGATGATGGTTTCAGAATTCTGAAGGGACAGGAATACCTTCCTGGTACTGGAGGGTGCCCTCACTAGCATGCTGCCACAGCAAGCTGAGAATTGCATTCAGAGTGTAAGAAATGCAAGGTTCCATGCAGCCTGGCTGAGATATCACTGTCCCTTGAGTGGCATTTCTGTGCTTTGCTCTGGGTCCCAGGATGACAATCCCAGGTGTGGCCACCAGGTGGCGCAGCAGCCCGGGCAGCCCTAAGTGCCTCCATGAGTGCCCTGCCCACCCATCTGAGCCACTCATTTCACATTTCTCTCCTCTGCTTTCAACCTCCAGGTTCCAAAAGTGGCAGGAAGCCCTCTGGACCTTCACCCTCGGCCTGAAGTCCCTCCACTACGGCCTAGGAGCTTGGAGTGGGGAGGGCGATGGGGTACTCTTGCCAAGGCGTGCTGGAGACTGGACCTTGCTTAAAGGCACTGAGGCTGGCTAGTCTTGTTGGAGATCGCCAGCCTCCCCCCCGCCCCCCAGTTCTGCTTGCGCTGTTGCAACAGCACCCAATAAATGGTGAAGAGTGGAGCCGGTCTGGGGACAAGTTGGTGTGAATGGTTGGCAGGGACCCCAGTCTACGGACCACATCCTCACTCCCTATCACCTAACAAACTGCTCCTTAAATCTTGGGGTCACCTTGGGGAGCTGAATCAGGAGCGACACCATTAGGGCAGCTGTGAGGTGTGTAAACTCCCAGGTACCCACTGCATACTGATATGCAAAATAGGGGCCTCTTGCACTGAAGGCACACAGGGCTCCAGGGAAACAGGCTGGTACAAGTGCAGGGATGGGCTTGACTGCGAGATGCTCTGCCTGCATTCATCTAACTGGCCTGAGGCTTCACTCTCGGTCCCTGTTCTTCTGGGGCTGAGGTCAGAACAGGAATTAGATTTCCTGGGACCCTCCTTGTTCCTGGTCTGGGGTGGGCTGGGAGCCAGGGAAGAGGAAGGTGACCGGAGAAGGGCTTCTTAGTAGCCTCAGGTCTGTGAATGGCATTGGGACAGCAGCAGCTCCTTGCATAACTCAGCATCCAGAGTCTGAGCCCAGAGCCGGGAGGGACTATGTGGGGTCATACCCTGCCTGTTTCATAGGGTTCCCTAGGAAGAGGCTCAGTGGGGAGCCTGAGCCTCCTAGGCATATACTTCAGCAAAGAGGATGACTGCCCCCAACGCAGCCAGACACTGTCATGTGCAGAGGCAGGGTGAGGGAAGGGAGATGATCAGAGCTCGTTCCTAAGCAGTAGGCTGGGGTCTCACCCTGCCTGGGACCTTGTCTTTGTGCCCTCCACCTGTGTCTGGATGTGACCAGTGTGTACACAGCCATTCTCCTGGAAACCTGGGACACTGAGCTGTGGGGAGCCCCTGACCTGTGTTCTGGCTAGCCCTACACCTAGCCTTCTGCAGGTGGAGGAGACAGTAGAGTGGTCCATGGGCAGAACATACGAGCTGGGAACGTCTCCACCACACAGCTGGGACTCACGGGCTATGACTGCACCGTTTATTCACCACTTTCCCAAAAGTAACATGGACAAAACAGGGAAAAGAACAGAGCACCTCTCGCGTCCCGAGACAAACGGGGAAAAGAACAGAGCACCTCTCGCGTCCCGAGACAAACGGGGAAAAGAACAGAGCGCCTCTCGCGTCCCCAGACAAACGGGGAAAAGAACAGAGCACCTCTCGCGTCCCGAGACAAACGGAAAAGCAACCGCATCTCAGCTCAGGAGGCTCTGGAAGCTGGATGAGCACCTGTGGTGGGGCCTGCTGTCAGAGGACGTCCTGAAGCTCAAGTAGTCTCAGCCTCTTGCATACGGAGCTTAGGTAGACTGACCCCCCCAAAGGCCTAGAGAGCTTGGGGGGTCCAGGCTGGAACAGCCTACAGGTCCCTCCAGCTCTGATCCCCTCTAGCAAGGCTCCCCTTTGTCAGGTAAGGCAGAGGCTTGGCTTTCCTGCGCTTGAAGGCCTCCAGTTCCCGGTGGGTACTCATAATCAGCCGGCTGCAGAAGAAAGGGAAATTAGGAGTACCAGCTGGGGCTCCCGCTGCACAGGGCCGACCCGACCACACCTGCCAGGTGGCTCCTCACAGGTGCAGGCACATCCTGCCCTTTGAAGGTAAAAGCCTGAGCCCTGCAGGTCAGAGGTGACAGCAGGAATTCTACCACACAGATGTGGTGGAATGTGGCAGGACTACCAGATATCCATCCCCCCTCCCCGGTCATACTGCCTCAGTTTCTGCTTTGTTCCCTATCCTCTCTGGTGACTTGAGCTGCCCTTACTTGAGACTGGAGAGCTCCACCACGAGGCCACGTACTGTGTCTGTGGCATCTTGCATCCTGCAGGCATTTTGGACCCAGGTCCCCGTAGCCGGTCTGTTGGGAGGAGGAAGAAGGGAATGGCCGGAGTGCTCCGGAGTCAGCCATTCACTGGGTTTGAGGGGCTTATAATGGCCGACCCATTTCCAACTGCCCCTCCCTGCACCAAGAACATCCTCCCTCCAACCCTGCCACCACATACTGCCATGCTTGGGCTGCTGCCATGGCCTTCCTCACCAATGGGCACCACCTGGCTATTCTCCCAGTGCCTCTGAGGATTCTGGAATATTCTTTCCCAGTTAACTTGATCATTAGATTTTAACTCCTTAGCGCCCCCCCCACACACACTGGTTTTTCGAGACAAGGTTTCTGTTGCTTTGGAGACTGTCCTGGAACTTGCTCTGTAGACCAGGCTGGCCTTGAACTCACAGAGATCCGCCTGCTGCCTGCTTCTGCCTCCCTGAGTGTTGGGATTAAAGGCGTGCACCACCACTACCCAGATGAGCTACCCCATTTGCTCCCCATAATCCCTAGCATTCAAGATAATCTGGAAGGGACATGCCACATTTCCCATAGGGATGTGCAACCTATATATATGTACAGGCAGAATAAGGACCCTGTCAGCTCAGGCTAACAACTGTCTCCCTCTGAATCCCTATACTCACGAGTCCCGGTTCGGCCATACAGGCTCCAGGCACCTGCTGGTAGCTGCCTGTTGGGCCCTTAGCTGGCTAGTTTCCTTCAGCCCCAGGCCACCCACTGGACCCAGGACCCACTCTGGAGCAGCACTGACTGGGACATTTCGCAGGAATAACCTGCTTCTGGCACACTGAAGGAGAGTGAGAAACGTAGGGGAGGGACTGTTGACAAGTGGCAGGCAGAAGGCTGGAGGAGGGAAAGGGGCCAAGGAGGTCAGGGTGCCATTCTAGCCCTCTTTTGTGATTGCCTGATGGAAACAGAACCTTGGCAGTAAATCATTGATAAGCCTCTGCAGAGACATGGTCAGGTTCAAATGCAACGTCATTAGAGGGAAGGCCTGTGAGGGCCAGACAGGGCAGTGAGGAGAAAGGGTGGGGTAGTCCCTAGGGTACCTGCCCAGAGCCAAAGCTGGGCACTCTCAGACTTGTTTCTACTCACAGTTCCTAGCCCTGACTAGACACCAGTTTATGGAGCTCAGGACCACCCATGGACAAAGAGGCTGGAACAGTCTAAGGTGCTGGAGGGATTGCCCCAGGGGACTCAGCTCCTAAGGACAGGCACTTCTTTGAGTGTGGACCATGGGCCACCTGAGTTCCCAGGATATATAGTACATGGTGGTTGAATGACAGGTTTAAGCTGGGTGGGAGGCAGAGGCAGGTGCATCTCAGTGAGTTCGAAGCCAGCCTGATCTACAAAGTGAGTTCTGGGACAACCAGGGCTACACAGAGAAACCCTGTCTCAAAAAAACAGGGGGGGGGGGGGGGGAGGGAGGGGGG